CAGGGGGGCGCGCGCCGGAGGAGCGGGCGGCCTGGACGGTCCCGAGCGAGGGGCGCATGTCGGCCGAGGGATCTGCGGCACATTCACCCTCAGACTCCAGGGCGACGGTGTCCCGTCACATTTACGACACGGAAATGCGGGACGGACTCACGGCCGGCAGGTGCGACGACGCCCTATTGCCGCTGCTGCACCTGCTGGGCTTGGCCGGGGCACCGCCTGCCGACCCCGCTGCAGGTGTGCCTACCACCACGGACTTATTGCCTGGTGCAGGCCTCCCATGCTGCACCTATACATCGTTTCATTTTGTTGTTGTTGTCAGTTTGTTTTCATTCGAGTCGAGCCATAACATTGAACGGTGTCATTGTATCCCCGCCACTTGCAGTTCTGGAGGGGGTGCGGCCCGACAGGGCGGCTCTGTCCACGGTGACGTCCACTCAGCCCAGCTGCAGGTCGGCGTCGACCACCATCGTGCGGGCTCCAGAGGCGCCTCGGTGGCCTCGGCACAGCCACCCTTCCTCGGCGCGCCTGTGCCGGTGGGCTTACCGCTCACAGTCCCCAACAAACGCACCGGTCTATCAGTGTTGCCGCAACGCATGGCGAAACTCTCTCGCTCCTCTGCAAAAGTCGTTGCTGCTTTCCTCCAGCTGTCGTCGCACCGGTTTGTACAACAAAATGAGAGACGAGTTTCAGGTAAAAATAGTTTATTTATGTACACTTCTAGATAAATATCACAAACATTAAGTGCATCGACGATGCGGGAGAATTTCAGATAAGATCACAAGTGATGCCATTGCTCCCTCGAACAATACATACAATAGTTATAGCATAGCTTTGCTAGTACTTTTCTGTTATTGTCTAGTATATTGTACTTTCTGTTCAAAAAGAAATACACAAATAAAGTTGAATTTTCATACAGTCATGAGCAGTACATTTTATGTACATGGTGATAACAAAAATTCCTCAAGGCACTCCATTAGATATGTACTGGGGAAAGGGAATTCCCTGGCAGCACACTAATGTAGATACAAAACTCCATCATAAGATTTCAATTGAAATCGCTACCGTATCACAATAATTAAGTTGATTAACACTTTAACATGCACGGTTCTTAAATCGCTACCAATGCGCCAGGAAAATAAGCACATCAAGTTTTCAGTCAGACTCCGATTTGACCCGCACACACCGCAAAAAAAATAAATGAAGACAGAAAAAAATACATTACACAGTCTGATTGGAAGCACAGCCAAACAAAAGGAAGGATCAAGGCACTAGGGGTCCCCAGAACATTTTGCTGGGCCGCCTCGGGTCCTCCGTGAGGAAGAAGTCCCTGCCGAGCTTTACGAACTCCTTAGAGCTCAGCCGCCCGTCTGTGTTGGTGTCGATCACGTTGAAGGCGTTAGTCGCGTCCTGCAGCACAATAATACGTCTCCAGTTAGAAACATCGTGGAAAATACAATAATTTTATTTCTCATTTATCTATGAATAGAGAGTCTCATTCATTGTAAAGAGAAATCCCAAGTTGTCTTGAATAAAACACAAAAGAACACGTTATTATCCGAAATTGCAGTAGTTTACCTGGTCAGTCAGGCCCAGGCATTGGAAGAAGATCTTGAACTCTTCGACCGAGATCTCGCCGCTCTTGTCCTTGTCCACAGCCTTGAAGAGGTACGGAAGGAAAAGATGCGCCTTCTTCTTGAGCGACTTGTCGTTCACCATGTGCTGCATCTCGGCCAGGTACTGCTCCGTCGTCACCAGGTTGTACGCGTCCAGGCTCCCCCACTGCTCCTCCCACATTTGCTGTGCACAGAATTTTACACCGTCGTTAGACACGGAGCTCGCCTGGGAGGTAGGCAACCCATCCTACACCGAGACACCACTTCACTTGCCTGGATCGCCTTGTGGAACTCCTGGGTGTCCTGCGCAGAGAGATGCCCCAGGTCGACGAAGCGATCGGCGAGCAGCTTGTAGTCGTCGTACGAGATGACGCCGTCCTTGTTGAGGTCCAGCAGGCCGTGCAGGGTGCGCATCTTGCGCCGCCAGAACTCGCTCTCGCCCTGTGGATCAGAGAAAGCACGACGTGAAGGTGATGGTCTGGTCAAGTTGCTGGACGCATGACAACGAGCTGCGTGGGTGTCGGCGTCCCCAACAGCCGTGGCCGTGGCGGCACGTATCTACTCACCCTCAGTTTTTTTGACCGGTCGTCGTCCGAGTCGGAATCGGAGTCCGAGTCGTCGTCCAGCTTCTTGGCGCGGCCGTGCTCGGGGGCCCTCTTGCCGTAGCAGCGCGCGGCCACGGCGGCGAAGGGCGACGTCCTCGGCAGCAGCCCGACCTGGACCACCTGCAACGGCACGAGAAGACGGTGGCGATGAGCTTGGGCAGGACGAAGTATCTGTGGTCCCCGGCGGAATCACTCTTGTACCAGGAGGAGCCGAGGGCTTTTGGAGGCCTTTGGTCCTGCTGAAGACCATGACCGAGGAGGAGGGGGGGGGGGAGGCATCCGAGCGCCGCGCTCTGCTTCACAAAAGCAAGATGATATAATATGGATTACGAGCCGCGGGCCCCGGCGGCGATCAGTCCGCGACCTGCGAATCCCCCCCCCCTTTCCTCTCTCGCTTACCCGCCCGCCCGTGTCCATCTGTCCATCGAATCCCCCCCCCCCCCTTTACGTATAGCCCGCAGGTGTCTGGCCTTGAACCTGCTGCCTGGCAAGGCGAATCGGCGTGGAGCCGCGTTTGTCGTTCTTTTGGTAAAAGGGGGAGGGGCTTTCTGCTGTCTTCGCTGTCCCATGCGATGACGACAGTCCGAATGTCCTACGAACCCACATCCCACATGTGCGCGCCCGGTGTGTTTCTGCTTCTCTTTGTGTGCATGTCCTTCGACTGGCGCTTCAGCGTGGCGCGACGTCACCTGCCGAGCCCGCTGCAGACCTCTCTCTCGAGCTGAGGCGCGTTGCTCCGAGAGGTAGGCTACCATGCGACCTCCCCCCCCCCCCAAACACACACACTTTTCCCCCATCGACACAGCAAAATGAGCAGGGGCTTGGCTTCAGCAGACCACACCCTAAGTCCAACGCCAACGAACTACGTGTCGGCTGCTTAGTGGCTTTATACTTTGGACAACTCGCGGTGGGTACTCAACATTCGAAGCACGGGGGCACCGCGACACGTACCACGACGGGTACACAGCCATTCAAAGTGTAAATTGTATGTCATGCTTTCATTTTTATTGTTTTTAAACCTTTAAGCGCCTGCTTGAAAAGACTACTACAGGGAGGTCCACAGACCCCTTCCTTTATTTTGCTCATACTGTACCGCATGCATGCATGCGGTCGGGTTGCATACTCGCACGGGGCCGCAATGCGCCGTGTTGAGCGACGGTAGGCAAGCCCACCCGCACGCCTGCATGCAGTACAGTATAAGCAAAATAAAGGAAGGGGTCTGTGGACCTCCTCGTGTATGCCCAGGTTGCTCTATTTTACCAATAGCCGAGCAAATGAGCCAAGATTTAAAACCTACAAAACCGATAAATCGAGCGTGAATTTTCCACAAAACATTCATACCGCGTCAGGATGGCAGGCTGGCCCTCCAGAACAGCCAGGCAAGCCAGAGAGTGCAGTTGCACTGCATGCACTTGCTTTCACTCGCGTGTCTATCTTAATAAATTTACGGCTCTGCCCGCGCCGCGCCCGGACGCCCGGACGAGACGACCATCAAGTCAAAGTCTCAACAACTCAGCTCGCGACCATCGGGGAATGACAGAGTATATAGTTCTGAGGGTACTGTATGCGTCCCCCGTAGCTCAGCTCGACGGGCCGTAGAGTATGGTCGGAGCAACGACCCTGGACCGGAGTCTAGCGCCTCTGGAGAAGGCGCGAGGCACTTGGATCCGTGGGACAAATCCAACACCCCACATCCCCGCGCGATACACCAGTCGAAATCGTCTCGCGGCGCAACCAAAAAAAGAGGAAATAAAAATCAACAAGACGATGGAAAAGTACAGCGTTTTCCGGTTACAGAGCTCACTTCCAGTCGACCAGCTTATGGCGCAGGGCAGAGCGGCAGCAAGGCGGAGTGCGGGAGCAGCAGATTTGCCAGCAAGTTAGGCAAAACACCGCGCCGGAGCACACCCGTGTGCAGCGGGCGCGTACCTCCGCCTGCCCACTAGGCAACATCTGCGCACGCGTGTAGAGGGGTTGCCTGCATAGTAAGGAGATGTCGACAGTAGCTCTGGCTGAAAGAAAACCTGGAGGGTCGTGATGCTGGAGCCTTCCCGCTCCCAAGCTGGCCCTGCAGTTCTTCTATCAGAGCACCAGGGCGATAGCAGCCACCGGCCGGCGGCTGCGGCTGCGGCCCGTCCCACTTGCAGCACGAGCACGGTCGACGGCCGATTGCCGATTCGCGTGTCGGCACAGTTCGGTTAAATTAGATAGTCTGTAAGGAAGAGGGGGAGCCGTGGCCATAACGCGTGTGTAATCACGAAGAGCCACAACGGAGCGGGTCGTAAACAAACCAAGTGAAGCCCCAAGGATGCGTCTGGCTGGGGACGGGGAGGGGGGG